AGGCGTTCGGCATCATGCCTGGTTTATGTCTACTCTTCATATGCCATAGTTATCTAGTCTAAGTAAATCTAAATAACAGATACATGCACAATCTACAGCAATCACTACTTTTAGCCCCAGAAATTAAATACTGATTTTTCTTCTAGATCCAGACTCCTACCAGAAAATGACTATCATTTTCTCTCAGCACATTCCGTTGTCTTCTGTTTCATTACTGCTGCTGAGAAGCCTTTTATCATTCTTAAAAATACGGTGCTTGTTTCTTCTCTTGCCTGTTTATTTATATTTTAATTTATTACTTTGAAGTATTGGGGATTGAACCCAGGGTCTTCGCACCAAGCTACATCCCCAGACCTTTTAAAACTTTACAAATTTTGAGACAGAGTTCACTAAGTTAACCAGGCTGGGTTTGAATTTCTGATCCTCCTGTCTCAGCCTCCCAGCAGGCTGGAATTACAGGCATGGTCACCATGCCCAGTTCTTGCCCTTTTTAAAATCCTCTCTGTTTTTTGTGTTCCCTGGTTTCATAATTATATGTTTATAAATTTCTTTTTATTTGTCCACCTGGAATAAAGTACACTCTGTACATCTAGTTTTGTGTCTTTTATTAGTCCTAGAAAATTCTTAGTCATTGTCTCATAAAAACATGTTTTTTCTCACACTGTTCCTAAATTTCCTTCTGGAACTCAGATTACTGTCAGGCCTTGGCGTTGAATCCCCTCATTCCTTATTTTTGTATTTTTCTGTCTCTTTTTCTGGTCTACAGTTTGGATAAGTTTTTCAGCTCAATCTGCCTATTTCCTAATTCTTTCCTCCTCTGTTTAACCAAGCCATGTTTTAAAACAACTCTATATTTCATTTTCAGAAGTTCTATTTGATTATTTTAAAAAGCTACCTATCATTTAAAAATGAAAATCTTGGTCTTTGCTTATTTTTATATATCTTTTATTTCTTTTAATATCTTATTCATAATTATTTTATATTGTATACGTGATCATTCCAGTATCTCAAATTGAGGTGGAAGTGTGTGAATCTTATTTTGTTGCCAGGAGTCACACGCCTGTAATCCCAGCACTCGGGAGGCTGAGGCAGCAGGATCGCCATGAGCTTGAGGCCAGCCTGGACTACATAGTGAGTTCAAGGCCAGCCTAAACTATATAGCTAGACCCTGTCTTAAAAACAAAACAAAACAAAACAGTTAATCTTGTATTGTTGACTCTTGCCTTACTGGGCTTATTTTCTTTTTCTTGTTCAAATTGACATATAATAAATCTGTGGGGTATCAGATGATCTTTTTAATGCTTGTATATATTATGTGATATCAGATCTGAGTAATTAGCAATCTGTCACCTCAAACACTTATCATTTCTTTGTGATGAAACATGCAAGGTCCTCTGTCCTCAGTATTTGGAAATATACTGTACCGTAAATGATTATTAACCATAGCCAGGCAATTATACCATACAACACTAGAGCTTATTTCTTCTAACTATAATTTTGAGCCAGGCATGGTGGCACATGGCTATAATCCCAATACTGGGAGGCTGAGGCAGGAAGATC